TTCAGCACCAAAAATCTGAAATAATCATACCGCCAGGGAGGTTAAAGCGGAGCTCCACCCAAAAGAAAAGTTTCACTTTAAGCCTTTGTCCCCCGCTCCCCATTAAGGATTGGCACCTTTGGAGAGCAGGTACCCAAATTCGACAAGTACCCTCTCCCACTTCTGCTAAAATTGCCTAGGCAAGCAGAAGTTGTCCTCCCCCTTCCCTCCCCGTAGTCTTCTGGGACACATGACAGATTCCAGAAGACTACGGGGCCATTCACAAAACGCAGTGTTTCTTGCGAATGCGCAGTGGGCACCCGGCTGTGAAGCCGCAAGCTGTCGCAGCTGGGTGCCCACAATAAAGATGTCGGCGCCAGGGAGATAAGGCAGCTGGTGAAACCAGTAGTGGTGAGGACACCGCTGGACCAAGGGACAGGTAAGTAGCTTTATTTTAAAAGTCTGCAGCTACAGTTTTTGTAGCTGCTGACGTTTTTTTTTTTATTTCAGGTGGAACTCCACTTTAAGTTCCACAGTGAGTATAACAAGCATGCTTTACTGCATATACAGACTGATTTTACTGTTGTGGGTTTAGTTACACTACAAGGGTCTATTCACACCAGTTGCAGCTTTACAACATGATGCAGTGGGATGACTGCAGTGCTAATGCACTGTTTGCGGCACATTACACTGTTCCCTTTTTTTTAACAAACTTTACTGAAAGGTCACAGTAACATTTCGTTAAGTTTATCAACTATGACGCAGTGTGAAGTGGTGGATTGCCGACCGACCTGCCACAGTGCACACCACTGCAACATGATGGTCGGAACTTGCTAGGTAGGAAACAAGGCCTTTTGCTGTACCTTACAGGGGAACTATGATGGGGCTGTGCTGGAATAGCTGCCCACAGCAGTCCTACCTCACCAGGTGTGAATAGACCCTTTTATCAGCCTGAAATTCAGCTTTAAGGTCAACAATTAGGCCTCAGTATGGGATGGAAGCCTGTCCCATCCTTTCTAGTTCTTTCTAGGATAGACCATTCTTTGGTCAAGTCCATCTCTACTAACCTCCTTCATCACTCTTGTTCTGCGATGTGTCTGGGACATAGCACACACTGCACAGGTAATATGTTGGCCCATCTACTGTAACACCTGCCAGGTATATGGAATGGGAACCTACTATAGTATACTTCTTCTACATTCAGCAATTAAATAATAATCTTTAAATCTGACCTCAGAGGAAAACCATGTCCACTTTGTTAGAAAGTGATAAAGATAAACAATTTGTCTCTTTGTATTCAATGTCATTAGTCTTCTAATGGCAAATTCAATAGCAGCCTATTTTGCAAAGGTGATTGTTGCAAAGCGTTCATTCTAATAGAGACGCATTGAACAAGCATTGTAAATCATATCAAGCAGGCTTTTGCTGGTAAAGATGGTGCCCATTAATATACAAAATGTTTTTGTAGGCTTGTAACTAATGATATATCACTGTTGGGGCACAATAAAACATGGACATTGATTCTTTCACCATCTTAAATAGGTAACATAATGGAAGAAGTACAAAGGAAATTGATTCACACTTCACAGATGTAACCATAGTATTGACATTCATAGAAGAATGTACATAGAGTACAATGGATCTTGTAAGAATGATTTGTAGCTATACAGTTTAACAGCATTACTTATAGGGACAGACTTTCTAGATTAAAAGTGTTACTAAACCCAGGACCCTGCATTCACTATATCTGCTCTCCCACAGTACGCACAACATGAAATTATTTTAGTAAATCTAAACTGCTAAATAACTTTTCTCATTAGCAGTATATAGCAGTCTTGTGACTTCTATCAATGTCCAGTTGATCAATGGTTAAAGCTTGTAGTAGGAGTTTTCATTATGCTCTGACTGTCCTATGAGGCTGCATAACCCCTGACCCTCTGTCTGGACAGTGCTGATTGGACCTGTGCTGATCACATGCCCCCCCTCCCCCCAAAAAAAAGAAAAATCTCTAGCAATACTCACTAAACTGAGCATGTGCAGAGTGACTCATAGGGCTCTGTACTATCAGCAGTTGGATTGGGGACAGCAGAAGAAGGGGAGGATCAGAGAAGACAGAATCAATCAGCCTTTTTACACAATGTGAATGATTAACCCCTTAGGTTCCACAGTGAGTACAACAAGCATGCTTTACTGCATGTACAGACTGATTTTTCTGTTGTGGGTTTAGTAACACTTTAAAAAGTTACCCACCACCCTATAGCAGATATGCTGCTACAGGGCGGCACAGCTGCCCAAAATCACATACTCACGCTGCTATTGGCTGCTGAGGATAACAATCACCAGGACTAGGCAATTGCCGGCAAAGCTGACGGGAGAGACCTGTGTGTAAACACAGGTCGTTCTCCTGTCAGCATGGACATGTTGCTTTGTATCTCTCTGCACAGCAGATAGATACAAAGCAGCATGGCTCTCAAGTAAGCACACATCACACAAAGTAAAACACAGCACACTATGAACCCTTTCATCACCCCAGATGTTAAACCCTTCCTGCCCAGTTAGTACAGTGTCAGTGCTTTTTATTGGCACTAATCATTGTATTAGTGTCACTGGGGATATCAGTGGCAATTAGTCAGTTACCACCCCAGTTTCAGAATGTCCACTGCAGTCCTGCTATAAGTCGTTGATCGGCGCCATTACTAGCATTAAACATTTTTTTTTAAATTCCAGTATACAGGTGAAACTCGAAAAATTAGAGTATCATGCAAAAGTTCATTTATTTCAGTAATGCAACTTAAAAGGTGAAACTAATATATGAGATAGACTCATTACATGCAAAGCAAGATAGTTCAAGCCGTGATTTGTCATAAGTGTGATGATTATGGCTTACAGCTCATGAAAACCCCAAATCCACAATCTCAGAATATTAGAATATTGTGAAAAAGTGCAATATTCTAGGCTCAAAGTGTCCCACTCTAATCAGCTAATTAAGCCATAACACCTGCACAGATCCCATACCTGGAAATACAAAATCACGTATATATACACGTGATTTTGCATAGCTCTGCCGCCTTGTAGCAGTACTTCTGCTATAGGGCAGTTGGGAAGTGGTTAAAGTCCAAAGAAAAAAAGAAGGAAGTGACCTCAAAGGAAATACAAGTAGACAAGCCCATAAAATTGCTTTGGAAAAACACTCTGCAATCTCATGTAAACATTCATAAAAATTTGCTTTAAACGTACAAGAACATGCATACATAAATACGTTTCTGGTGGCCCCTTAAAGCTCTAGTATAGCCCGTTCACCTCCCTAAACACAACATGTGATTGGCACTAAAAAACATCCAATGCATTTTGGGGGCCAGAATAAACTCCCCCTTCATTGGGGCTTCAGTTAACCTCCCTGGCGGTATTCCCGAGTGTAGCTCGGGGTAAAGTTTCTGTACCAAAAGTGGTAACCCCGAGCTACACTCGGGCTTACCATGCGGCGCTGCATAGGGAGTCCCTCCAGCATTTACCTTCTCCTTCGCTCCCGCAATGTGTCCCCTGCAGCATCCCCGGCCATCTCCTCTGGCCGATGCCGGCATCCGGCTTCTGTGTTCCGGTCCCTGTGACGTCGGGACGTACGGGCGCCGCCGACGGCGGGAAATTTGAAAATTGTAAAAAAATTTCATTTTTTTCAAAACGAATTTTACATAGTAAAACATTGCTGTTTCAAACCATTTCACATACATTTTGTCCCGAGTGCTTTGTCCTGTGCCCTGCCTGCATTTTTACTGTTCTTTCTGCCTGGAAACTTAGAAACGTCCATGGCGTCCAAAAAGCACCCCTTTAGGTCAAAAGCGGTTTTAGACCAGCTAGAGAACAGCGATAGTAAATTAGAACCACTTGCAGAATTGAGTGATAATGATTTGTGGAGAAATTCGTCATCAGACACTGAAAACAATTCTGCGACTTTGCTCAGCGATGTGCGAACTTAGAGCTAAATTTCAAATTTCAGTGTTTTTGGTTTGATTATATTATTGAATTTAATGTATTATTATTATATTATTTTTTTTTATGATTATTTATTAAATTATAATTTATGATTTTGTGTTTCAAATTTTATCATACCCGGGATGTTTAATAGACTCTTGTTCGGACAAATTTCAGTGAGTTATTCCTAAATATTACAGCCTACAATAAAAAAAACTACATATTTCCATGCAAAATAATGGTACCACTTTCAGCACCAAAAATCTGAAATAATCATACCGCCAGGGAGGTTAAAATAAGGAACTTTAATGGACTTACACAGATACTGCTGGCTAGTAACTCTCCTAATCCAGCACTTAGCTTCCCTCCATAGCTTCAACCAGGAAAGCCCTACGCTGAGTCAATTTATGTTTATTATTTCAACTGAAGCCCTGATGAAAAGGGAGTTTTTCTGGCCCCTAAAATGCATTGGATGTGTTCTAGTGTGAACCAATAAATCAATTTGGACTCTTTAATCATTTGGTTTTGCACTCCTTTTTTGGTGCATGTTTTTTCTGGTAACCTGCTGGGTACCCAATGGATGGTAACCCTGTGTGTTGTGAGCTGCCCAAACCTGAGCCAAGGAGCTCTCCGAATGTTTTTGTCATCTCACTACTTTGTATGAACTCACATCAAGTCTCAATGCCTCTTCAATGTTTTTTTTTTATCATTGGAGTCACAATCTGTGATTGGACAGTGAGGGAGTAACAACAGAGAGATACCGTATTTGCCGGCGTATAAGACGACTGGGCGTATAAGACGACCCCCTACTTTTCCTGCTAAAATGTAGTGTTTGGGCTATACTCGCCGTATAAGACTACCCCTCTTCCAATGCACACCAGTGGGAGGAATAGTGCCCCATCATTGGTATCAGTGGCAGGAATAGTGCCCCATCATTAGTATCAGTGGGGGGAATAGTGCCCCATCATTGGTATCAGTGGCAGGAATAGTGCCCCATCATTGGTATCAGTGGCAGGAATAGTGCCCCATCATTGTATCAGTGGCAGGAATAGTGCCCCATCATTGGCATTAGTGGCAGGAATAGTGCCCCATCATTAGTATCAGTGGGGGGAATAGTGCCCCATCATTGGTATCAGAGCCATCTACTGTAAGAAATGATTACCGTATATACTCGAGTATAAGCCGACCCAAATATAAGCCGAGGTACCTAATTTTACCACAAAAAACTGGGAAAAACTATTGACTCGAGTATAAGCCCCATCATTAGTATCAGTGGGAGGAATAGTGCCCCATCATTGGTGTCAGTGGGAGGAATAGTGCCCCATCATTGGTATCAGTGGGAGGAATAGTGCCCCATCATTGGTGTCAGTGGCAGGAATAGTGCCCCATCATTGGTGTCAGTGGGAGGAATAGTGCCCCATCATTGGTGTCAGTGGCAGGAATAGTGCCCCATCATTGGTGTCAGTGGCAGGAATAGTGCCCCATCATTGGCATTAGTGGCAGGAATAGTGCCCCATCATTAGTATCAGTGGGGGGAATAGTGCCCCATCATTGGTATCAGTGGCAGGAATAGTGCCCATCATTAGTATCAGTGGGGGGAATAGTGCCCCATCATTGGTATCAGTGGCAGGAATAGTGCCCCATCATTGGTATCAGTGGGAGGAATAGTGCCCCATCATTGGTATCAGTGGCAGGAATAGTGCCCCATCATTGGTATCAGTGGCAGGAATAGTGCCCCATCATTGGTATCAGTGGCAGGAATAGTGCCCCATCATTGGTATCAGTGGGAGGAATAGTGCCCCATCATTGGTATCAGTGGGAGGAATAGTGCCCCATCATTAGTATCAGTGGGGGGAATAGTGCCCCATCATTGGTATCAGTGGCAGGAATAGTGCCCCATCATTAGTATCAGTGGGGGGAATAGTGCCCCATCATTGGTGTCAGTGGGAGGAATAGTGTCCCAACATTGGTGTCAGTGGGAGGAATGGTGTCCCATCATTGGTGTCAGTGGGGGGTGGAATAGTGCCCCATCATTGGTGTCAGTGGGGGGTGGAATAGTGCCCCATCATTGGTGTCACTGGGGGTGGAATAGTGCCCCATCATTGGTGTCAGTGGGGGGTGGAATAGTGCCCCATCATTGATGTCAGTGGGGGGGGGATAGTGCCCCATCGTTGGTGTCAGGTGGGGGGGGGGAATAGTGCCCCATCGTTGATGTCAGTGGGAGGAATAGTGCCCCATCATTGGTGTCAGTGGAGGAATAGTGCCCCATCATTGGTATCAGTGGGAGGAATAGTGCTCCATCATTGGTATCAGTGACACCAATGATGGGGCACTATTCCTCCCACTGACACTTGCTGACCCTGCTCTCGTATGGTGCTGCTGCAGCCAGCATATGTGGTTGCAGCAGCACCTCTACACTGACCACTTACCTGCTGGTCCTGCACTCGATTTTCGTGGGGCCGCTCGGCTCCGCCCCCTCGCCAGTGATTGGCCGCCTGTGTGCCTTTCCTGATCTACAGTTCTGGCGGCCAATCACCGGTGAGGAGGCGGAGCCGAGCAGCTGCGCGAACATCCAGTGGCCAAACTGAAGGAGCAGCCGCGCTTCCTGGACCGGATCGTCGTGGGACCGGAGCCAGGTAAGAAATAGCCCCTGCCCACCCTGTACTTAGTGTTCCTTCCGTTGGGGGGGGGGGGGCGGCGGCGGCACCGCGCCGCCCCCCTAAAAAGTGTCAGTATGCCGTATACCGGCGTATAAGACGACCCCCGACTTTTGAGAAGATTTTCAAGGGGTAAAAAGTCGTCTTATACGCCGGCAAATACGGTACATAATTTCACTCATCTACTCACTTTGCTCTCTCCTCATTGTCATAATAAAGTATGTACAGCAGCATTCCAATTGGCTCATAGTGCTACCCCTTCTCTTACAAGAGGCTGATGCCAGGTCCAATTCCTGTGCTTACACTGCTTGCATTTAACCCCTTTCTTACCGTGCTATAGCCAAATGACAGCTACAGCACGGCAGTCCAGTTCTGGGAGAGTGTCATATGACGTCCTCCCAGAACATGCCACCCGCGTGCCCCCAGCAGTGCTCTTCGGCACTGTCTGTGATCGCTGTGTCCTTTGAACACAGCTGATCACATGACATGGTAACATGCCAAACACAGAGGCCGTTTACCACATGATTAGCTGTGTAAATAAACTTGCAGGTTATCGGCAGTACTTTCCTCACACAATCTGTCACAGCATGAGGAAAGTATTGCCGATAACCGGCAACTGTCAAAGGAAACATCTGCACTATCAGTGCCCTGATTATCAATGCAGCCTGAAAAGTGTCCAACAATGCTGCTCATCAGTGCTCAATGGTGCTGCCCATAAGTGCCCAGCAGTGCTGTCAATCTGTGCACGTCAGTGTTACCTATTAACATTTCCGCCAGTCAGTGCCCTTCAGTACTACCTATTAGTATCCATTGGTGCCACCTATCAGTGCCCATCATTACCGCATGTCAGTGCCCATCAGTGCCGCATTTCATTGCAGCAGCATCAGTGCCTCTACATCAATGCCCACCAATGCTACCTCATCAGTGCCGTTTCATCAGAGCAGTCCATCAGTGCTGCCTATCAGTGCCCATCAGTGCTGCCTATCAGTGCAGCCTCATGAGCGCACATCAGTGAAGGAGAAAAATTACCAGTTTGCAAAATGTTATAATAGAAACAAAGAAAACCTGTTTTTGAAATTTTCACTCTTTTTTTGTTTATTTTGCAGTGTTGCATGACCGCGCATTTGTCATTCAAAGTGCGACAGCATTGAAAGCTGAAAATTGGCCTGGGAAGGAAGAGGGGGTAAAAGTGCCCGGTAGGCAAGTGGTTAAAAATACATGTAATCAAGTTTTATATTTTTACATTACTGCTTTACTTGCTTTTCTTTAAGTCCGGCTGGAATTGAACTTGCATGTCCATTGGCAAGGTGCATTCAAGCACCATTAAGAATGCAACAGAATGAACCCAGCCTTAGGCTTAACTTTCGTGTGAATTATAAATGGACACTATTTTGCAGAAGCAGATGTCGTTTGTATTGAGAAGCCTATATGAGGCTTCTAAAATATTTTCACCCTTCTTTGTATTTTCTGTACTGGCATTCTCTGTAGGGAGTCAGTAAGACAGCCATAAAAAAAAAAGAATAAATAGGAATAACCTAAGCAAAATGTAGCGATGTTTTGTGCATTTTAATAAAAAATTACAAATCTTTCTTTTAATAATACTTCGTTTTTATGACCCTGGTGCCCAACGTGAGGTGCTTTATTAGTTGGTGTACTCAGTAGTCAGCAGTCAGTAGTCAGTGGGGTTGATGTTCACTTTGCAAGGGAAGCTGCACTTTGCATGGGTTGTAATGTTCAGGGGTATAGCTTCTCAGGACAATGTGCAAAGCCATTTATCTTAAAAATAAAAGTGTTTATTGATCTTTAAATGCAAGCCAAGCAGCAACACAAAATTCACTTAACTCCAAAAATATAACAGAAAAGTACACTTATCTTCAGCACAACAGCATAAAGAAAACATAAAGTTCATAGATGGGATTTACCCCAAGGTTAGCTCAGTCCAGTAAAAAATAAAAAAATGCAGTTTTTTTTATTTTCCTTACACGTCATTGGGTATTTTTTGCAAGGTGACATTTCACCGCATTTGCTAAGCTTTGAGGAAAATTCGATCACACTGTGCAACTTCACTTTCAAAGTGAACAGTCTATTTACCTTTAGTAAATCAACCCCAATGTTTTCCCTAGCTAGTTACCTAGCCAGTGAAGAAAAGTACTTTATTAGACTGCTTCTAGTGGTTAAATGGTTTACTTTATTTCTTTCACTGTTTATTCCCCTTTATATTTTTATTTTCTTTTTTCTCTCACCCTGTTAATTGGAACCAGCTGTGGAGAAATTCATATTGGTATCTGATCAATTCTTGTATCATGCTCCCCAGGCTCTGAAACATCCCCTGCAGTATGTTTCCATTCTCTGGTGGTATACTGTAGTATGCCCCCACTTTCTTTCCTGTAGTTTTGTAGTATTCTCCCAGTCCCTGACCATTACCTGTAGCATTTCCCCAGTCTCTGACCATCTTCTTTAGGATATCTCAACTCTCTGATCAACTCCTATAGTGTTATGGTATTCCTACAGTCTCTGACTCTGTTACCTGTAGCACGTTCCTAGTCTCTGATTCTTTTTTTAAGATGCCTCTAGTCTCTGATCATCCTAATGTAACATGCCTCAGTCTCTGATTATTATTATTATTATGCAGAATTAGTACCAACAGTTTGTGCAGCGCTTTACAACATGAGGGAAACAGTACAGTAAATACAATTTAATACAGAAGGAATTAGTGGACCCTGCACATTAGAGTTTACGATCTAAGAGGGAGGGTCAAGTAATGCAAGATGTAATAACTGTGGTGGATGAGCTGATGTAGAAAATTAAAGTACAGTTGTTAGGTCAGGGCAGGATAAGCTTCTCTGAAGAGAAGGGTTTTCAGGGATCATCTAAAAGTGAACAGAGTAGGAGATAATTGGACAGATTGAGTAGTGAGTTCCAGAGGATGGCAGAGGCTCAGGAGAAGTCCTGAAGGTGAGCATTGGTGGAGGTGATAAGGGAGCTAAAGGGCAGGAGGTCTTGGGAAGAATGAAGAGAACAATTTGTTTGGTATTTTAAGACTAGGTTAGTGATGTAGTTTGGGGCTGGGGAGTAGTGGATGGCTTTCTAAGTTGTTAGTAGTATTTTGAGTTAAATGTTTTGTGTGAAGCCAGTAGAGCGATTGAGATGTAGCAGACACTGAAAGGTTGGTAAGTTGGATGAGTCTGGTAACCTGTAGTATGTCTCCAGTCTCTGGACATAACCTGTAGCATGCCCTATACTCTCTGACCTCTTTTTTTGTATTCCTCCAGTCTTTGACCATCACCTGTAGCATGCCCTTGTCTCTGGCTATCACCTTTAGAATGCCACCAGTCTTTATGCATTTCCTTTAACATGCCCCTGTCTCCAACTATCTTTTAGTATTCTCCCAGTTGCTGACCATCATCTTTAAATGCCTAATTGGTTCTAAATGGGAAAACATCTTATATGATCCTACATGTGCTTCACTATTAATCTGTGAGAAGTCTTATGGAAGGGATGGGGGACATGTAGGCTTTTTTTTCAAAATGTTAACTCCTTATATTTATAGACAACCTGGAAGAAAAATGTAGGAACTGATTCATTTTTAAAGGTGCACGATTGAGATCTGTTACCCTAATCCTGCCTCACTCTTTTGTGGGTTACTCACCTGAAACACGAATGCAGGTGAGGAGTACATGTTGGTTCCAGGCCAGTTACTCACTGAGTCATAAAGCCAGGCTCCTGATGACAGCCCCACAATTTGCACCAGTAAAG